GGGGGTATGAGGATTGTGGTCAGGAGAGCGTGTGAAAGAGAAAGGGTTTCAGAAGAGAGGGGGACTGCCTGGCCCCAGGGTCACTGTGGGGAAGAGCCAAGGTCAGGAGGTCCGGGTGAACAGGAGAGGGTGAGGAGCAGCTGGTGGGAATGCGGTAGGGGGCGGAATTCAGGCGGCAACCTCTCCGGTGCACGGTGTCATGTCGGTGGATGCTGGCAGAATTCCTGCCGGGGTCTAGCACTTACTTCATGGTGTCTGCATCAGCCTTGCCTGTCACTCGCAGACCGTAGAACCTCTGCATGGCAGCGATGGCCGCTGAGAGTGACTGGGGCGAGCGCTGTGTGTGGGTACGCAGGTCCCCGGGGGGCAGGTAGCCATACTGCTGCAGCCAGGCCTGTAGGGAAAGGGATGTGGCTTGGAGCAGCCCCACCTGGCCCCAGAGGACCCTCTGCCTCCTCATGGCACCTGGAGCACACTCTTGGCTTGGTGTGGAAAGGACAATGAGCTTCCAGCCTGGCTCAGGCAGTAGGGCTGGAGGAACTCCCAGGCTGGACCCAAACTCTGGCCCAGGCTCTAGCATGGCTTATCCTCTTAGAGGGGCGGGGAGCCACAGCTTTGAGCCTTGGCTGTAAGTCCTCTGCTGGGAGCCCTGGTAGTTTGAGTTCTAGGATGTCTTCTCTGAGCTGAGGTTCCTTCTAGCACTTTCGTTCTCTGTGTCAGTGTTCTTGTAAATACAGCATGTCCCACCAGAGGCTGGGTTAAGCCCATGGTGGCTGGAGAGGGGAGAGGCTGAGGGGACTCCACTCTGGGGCCTGGCATGAGGCCCTCCTGGGACAGGCACGCTGTGCCTCCAGGATCTTCACAGCCGAGATCTTTTCAGAAGGGACGGCAGAAAAGGAGCGAGGGCTCAGGCTGGCTGCTGACAGGGGAAGCTGGGGCCTTTGGAGGTGGTGGGGATGTGATCCAGCCGCAGAGCCAGGATCCTGCCACTGTCCCCATCCAGACAGCATCTGACCTAGGGCTTGGGACCTAAGACTCACTTAAGGTTCTCAGTAGAGGAAATGGGAGATTGGGGTGGTGGTTAGGGTTAGTATTTGATTGAGTATTTTGGCATCTGTAGTTTATTTCAGGTATGTTGTGAATTGTTCATAACATAAAGGCTGGCATACTGCCTGTAGGTAAAGCTAGGTTTTTGGCGTTTGATTGAAAGGTATACACACACTGCAAAGCCCTGTTGAGGAAAAAGTCAGCCTTTATTGTAAGAACAATGGCGTCTTTTCCTAAAGCCTGAAAAGTAAAATGAGACAAGTTATATATGGAATATGAGCATCCTGGGATCCTCCTATGGGGAAATACTACCTAGACAGCTCTGCTCCCTGCTCCAGCTTTACCATCTGAAGGAGTCCAGAGGGGGCTGCAGGGTGCCTGGGAGGGGAGCTTGGAACACAGAGGAGCGCTGCATCCCCTAGGTCATTAGGTTGGCTCTCCACGTCGCCCTTCACCGCCAGGCCCAGGCCCCAGCTCTGGTTGTGGAGCCGTGCTCTTGCATTGGGGCTGGGGGTGATTCAGGAGCAGCTGACTGGGGACCTGAGCCCGCAGGGGCAAGAATTGCAACATGGTTCTGGGAAGTGATCCCCCAAGGCTGATGACGGGTGTTAGGGCCCAAGATGTAAACAACACAGCCTCTCCTCAGCCAACAGGCCTGGCCAGAACAACCCTAGCACCACCCGGCTCAGAGAGCCCCTCCTTGGGGGGTTGGGGAGCTGGGAGCAGAAGTTTAACCTCTGGTATACCAGAGTGCGGCAAAGCAGGCTGCTCCTGTCCTGGGCTGCTCTCCCAGGAGCTCTAAACTTGCTCCGACCCGCACTGGCTGATGCCACAGCTTGTGCCTGCAGAAGGCCTGCTGTGGCCTGTGCCCAACTACGCAGGCAACTCCCTTTGCCCCAGCCTCACCTGTAGGGTAGTCACACCCCAGGCTTATGACCTCTGCTGGGGGAGCAGCTGCTTCAGCTCTGGGAAAGGATGAGAGTGGCCTGCTGCTGGAGCTGGAAGTCAGGGGGAGTGAGGTCAGGCCCTCAGCTCTCTGGGGGTAAAGCTGAAGGGAATTCTCCTAGGGCAGGATGACAGGAGGGACGGTGGGGGAGAGGTAGGGAGAATCCATATTCCAGGAGCTCTGGGATAAATCCCTCTTCTGGATGAGTCTTTCAAGAAGGTAGGCAGATCTAAATACTCACACCCACAACCTCCACTTCATATCCAATAGAGAAAGGTGGAGACTTAGTCAAGTAAAGGAGTCAAGAGAGCCACAAGTCCTGGAAAGGAAGTGCTCCCATTCCTCTCCTCCTCCCAGGCCTAGGCTCTGAGCAAAGCAAGAACCACAGAGGAGACGATGAGGTCGGAACCACAGAAGAGAGGACTCTTGTGTCTGCGGCTGAGTGGGGGAAGGGCTGAGTGCCAGACAGGCCAAGGGGAGGAGAGGGCTGCCCGGGAGCTGGTGCAGGACTCTGGAGGCCTGGTGGGAGGGAGCTGGCTCCCTGAGGCCTGGGCCACCCCAGCTCTCCCTCCAGACTGGCCTGGAGAGGGAGCAACTATGTTGGGTCAGAGAACTCAGTCGGCCGGCTTTGTTGAGAAAACTTTGTGGTGCAAGGTACTCCCCTAGGGGAAAGTCAAGGATAAGGAACCGCTCCCACTCCTAGGCCCACTCCTCCGGCCTGGGAGTCCTGGAGGGGGTTGGGGGGAATCTCTGGCTTTTCCACAGGCCCTGGATCCCAGCCTGTTGGCCTGCTCCTCCCTCCCTCTGCCTCCCACCCCTCCATGGCCCAGAAGCAAATGGTGGTTCTGGCACTGGGACTACCCATGACCCACTTAAAACAGAGCCAGGGCTGCTGCCCCTCCCCTAGGGGACCTAGTAGGGCAGGGAGGGAAGGAAGGCAGGGCAGGCGAAGTTGGCAGCAGGAAGCCCCCCAGATGCCCAGGCTCCTTTTGTTAGGAGCTCTCCCCTCAGGCCTCTGATGAAGACTCCAGGCCTGGAAAGAGGATGCCGCCTCCTCCTCCTGGACGGTGTCAGGCTTAGCCCCTGGGCAGATTTTCACTCTCCCTGGTCACCCTCATTCCTTGGGCCACATGTTTCCTTTCAGCCTCAGATCCCTTCAGGACAGAGAGAGTGTGTTCCTTCTGGAGATGTTTCCTCCGGGGGTGGGACCAGGGCTGGGACCAGGAGCAAGGAAGCCAAGTCCAGATCCCCTCCCCCTGCTCCGGCCCTTCCCGGCCCCTCCCGACCGCACCCAGGCCCTGGCGGTGCTGAGTGGGTTGGAATGGCCCAAAATAAGAAGCTGATCAAATCCGTCTCCCACCTTCACCCCAAAATAAAAGAGAGAGAAAAAACTTCCTCAGACAACTCCCACGCGGCTTCCGGGCCGGGTGGGCCACCGTCGGGGAATGGATGGGGGGGGGCGCCCGAGTCAGTGGAGACATGTGCAGGCGCCCAGGGCCAGGCCCTCACCCCAGCTCCCCGGTACGACGCCCCCAGTATCCCTGCAATTAACATAAAAAAGCAATTAACAGAAAGAGCCTAAAGGCGCCGATGGGGGTGCGGAGGCTGGAGAGGAGGCGGCGGCCCAGCCGAGCCCCCTGCTCACAAGGAGAGCTTTGTGTGTCCGGAAACGCGGGCCAGGGCGCCAGCGCCGGGACCCTCGACGCCAGGGCTCCGGGCCGGGACACGGAGGGTCCTCTCGGGGAGGCAGGGATGGGCTGAGGGCCGAGCCCGCTCCGC